GGGCAGGGGGTCAGCCAGACATCTTGCCCAGGAGTTTTTAGGAACGTTGCCCGGGCTCTCTAGGGATGGGCCTGGGCACTAGTGTTGTTGAACCTTCCTGGGGAGTGCAAGACCCTGAGAGTGTGCATCAGGGCCATCTGGGAGCTTATTAAGAACACGTATTTCTTAGACCCCACCTGAGACCTAGGAATCAGAACTTTTGGGCTGGGCTTCAGGTGTCTTCACATTGAATGAGCGCCCAGCACTTTGGTCAGCCGCTTGCTACAGTTTGAGAGCTCCAGACATGGAGGGTCTCTCGGGGCCCGGTTCTCTTTGACAACCTGTGCTTCTGTCACCTGGGTAACTACGTCTTCTCAGGTGGGGGCCAAGGTTCCCCAGCGGGAGAAGCTAGAGGACATTATCATCTGGGGAGTCTGGCTCTTTCTGGAGCTCACTAAGGGAGAACAGGAGAGAAAGAGTCTGCACCCTCCCCACTCCACACTTTGGACATGCTCTGCCCAGTGGGCAGGTTGGGCACCTACACTCCTGGAGGGCACACACAGTGTTCCCACGCCCACCCCATCTTTGTATCTTCAGCCCCAGGGCCACACAGGGCACAACAGAGCAGGTGGTCAAACATCTTTGTTGATTGACTATTTGATTGATTGATTGATTGATTGAATGAAGACATTGTCCCATTAAAAGAAAATGCTGACCCACACCCCATCAACCTGCACCCCACTCTGGACCAAATACCCTCTCTTTGGGGAAGGGCTGGGCACTAATAGTTTCTAAAACTTCTCAGGTGGTCCTAATGTGCATCCAGATTGAGAACAGCTGCCACAGGGCCTTGCTTCTCAAAGTGGCCAGGGACCTCCTGGGGCACTTGTTCAAGGCCTGGACTCCAGACCCACAGACTCAGATGATCTGGGGGGATGAGGGCCATAGGATGGTTTGTAGTTCTGACCCCGGAGACCAACAGACCAGGGCTTGGATACTGACTCTGTCATTTATTAACTGGTCACCGGTGCACCTTCACTGTCTGTGCTTTATTCTCCTCGTCTGTACCAGTAAAATGGGAACCTCCTAGAATTGTTGGGGAAAATAAATGAGGTAACGAGTAGAAAGATGTCTGGCACAGAGGAAGTGCTTAACAAAAGTTAGCTGTTCTAGGAGGGGAACCTCAGAGGCCACCCATTAAAAAGCACACACGGTTCTGAGTCACGAGACCATTGGAGACCCACCCTGCTTCAAGACCCAACAGAACTCCCAAACTTCCCCCGAGCCAGGAGAGAAATGCCTGCCCCTCAGGTCTGTGGACTGGCCTGACCAGTGCCAGACACACAAAATCCCTGGCTCCTCATCTTACACGTTTGTGTGGACTGTGTCTTCACCTCAATCACATTTTTAAAGCTGTTGTAGTTGAATTTATAACTCCCTTTATACATGTGACTGTTTTAAATTTATAAGGGTAATCTATAAAAGTTTGACTGGGGGTGGTTTGGGAGCCACACTGAGTGGGCTCCTATCCTGCCTCCACTATCTCTGTGTGAGCCTAGACAAGTATTTGTCATTATTATTATCATCATCACCTCATATAAGCATTACAAATATGTGCCACCCAGTTTATTCATGGTACCAACTAAGTCTAGAAGTTAAACGGACCCTCAGGAAGATGCACCATGCCTATCGCATGACTTTGACCTCTCCAGGGTGAACTCACGCCACAATCCCAGGGGGCTGGAGGCCTCTAGTTTCAGGAACTTGGCCCTAGAAGGAAGCTTGATTGGGCGATGTCCCAAGCCCTGGGGTGGCCTGACTATCTGACATGGCATGAGCCAAACTAAAGGGCTTCCTGGCTATGTGCAGGAAAATCTGGAAAGGCAGGATCCCACCCCAAACTCTCATCCTCTGACCCCAAAGTCGTCCTTAAAATCCTGTCTTCACCAGCTCCTGGGTTCCTGGGTGGGAGCCTCTATTCCCCAGTCTCCCAGCCTGTCTGGGTCTCTTGCTCTACCCACCTCCCATCCTGAACCTGTCCTGGAACACAGTGCCCTCAGCCCTCCTCTCTTGTTACCTAGAGCTGTGCCTAAACGGGGTCAGCGCTGCCTTCTGTCCTTGCCAGATGTGTCCCAGGATTCCACCACCCAAATCATGTGGGTGCGTCTGTCCTTGGGCAGTGTTTTTCCACTTGCCTCTGAGTGGGCACATGGCGTCTGAAGAGGGTCGGGGAGAGCTCTTCTCCCACGTGCCGCTGTCCCACCCAATGTCTGGAAGGTGGGGGAGCGGCACCAGGTAAAATAGGGGCAGTCTGTCCCCTTCTACTCTATTCTAGTTCCTCCTTTCCTCCCGGGAGCCCTTCATTCTTCCTCCCTTTGCCAGTGTCTGCAGAATGGAGATGCCCAGCGGCGAGGTGAGGAGGGCAGACTGGTAGGGTTATGTGCAAGGACAAAGGTTGGGGAGCTGAGGGTAGGCAGAGGGCAGGAAGTGTTTTCTCTGTGCGTCCCTGGCCCCTCCTGCCTGCGGGCAGGTAGAGGGGATGCTGTGGTAGAAGGTGAGGCCCCACTCTGTGCTGTCAGGCCCAGGCCAGGGCTCCCAAGTCTGTCTTCCTTTGTGGTGGTGACCAGCCATTCTCTCTCCTAGGGTTCACTGCACCCCAAGCCCCGGATCAGTCTTCCCAGAGTTCCCCTTTCTTGTAGCTTCAGACAGCAAGCACAGGACCCTTTGGTTCTAAGGATTTTTTGCTGACCCTCCATAGTGGCTCACAAGTTACCCTTCCAAACACAGCCTGGCTTTGGACGGGATACCTCAGATCTGGACTCCCTCCTTCGTCTTCAGGAGTCCCCAGAGGCTCCTTCCCCTTCCTGCTCTCAGTGACCCTTCACACACGTGGGCCCCTCTTTCAGCCTGCAGGCCCAGAGAAGCCCTCTGTCACACCAGGAGCACCAGTGGCGTCTACTTGGCTTCATTTGTCCCTCCAGTGTCTTTATGTCCGAGGTCCCTAGCACCGTGGAACTCATCTGCTCAGGGGAGCACAGAAAAGCCCTCTCCCCTCCACCTGCACCAACTCCAACACATTGCTAAGGGCAGACATTCTCCTCTCAAAGGCTGTTATGTTTCTCACTTTCTCCCAGCAGGTTCTTTGACCCTGCAAACACCCCTTCAAAGAGGAAAGAGCATTAGTCACCACAATGTGTATGATTCTTATCAGATTCCTTTCTTCAAAGACACCGGGAAGGGAGCGGCCCCTGGAATGGAGGACCGAGGTGACCAGGACTAAAATCCTGGGTGTCACCATTTGGCTCAGAGCAATGTGTCCTGCATGGCAAGCCAAGCATTGTGTCCTGCATTGCAGGACAATGAAAATCCTGGCCTCCCCTGTGATCCCAGCCGCAGACTCGGGGTAGACCCGTGGCCCCCTCCGCCTACCCAGCCAAAGCTCTGGACACCCCCATGTTTATGTCAACAGAGCGGTTGCTAGAGGGGCAGGCTCCCGTCCGGCAGGGGGTGTCCAGCCCATTGTTTGTGTACCTCGTCTCAGTAGTGACCGAGGGGCTGGCACTCTCGAGCTGGGTCTCTGGGGCAACGCGCTGTTGGGGTCCCAGCTGTTCCAGCACATAAAGCACCCGCTCCATCAACCTGCTCCGGTGTCTTGTTGCACCGAGTGAGAATTTAAACCTTCCCCTGGTGAGGCTGCTATTTTCCACCCGCCGCCTCCTGGCCTCTCTACTCCCTTCCTCATGAGGGCAGCTCGGCATCCAGCCGAGACCCAAGGAGTAGCTGAGCATGGCCCTGTTCCCTCCTCCTTGGCCACCTCCTTGCTCCTCCAAATGTTTCCTGAACCGACCATGGGAAATGGGTCCTGGAGAGGCAGGCTGTGGCTTCCGCTGGGCCTAACCCAGCTCCTTCCAGCCTCTGCCGCCTAGAGAGGGGCTGGGGCCCACAGGGGCATACGGGGAGAGTCCCCTTTTAGTTCCATCCCCACTTATCAGCTGCCTGTCTCTGCCTATCCCCCTACACACATATACCAGCTGCTTCCAGAGCCCAGTCTTCCTGAGAACCCCTTCTCCCCCAATACCCTTTGTGCCCCTCCTCCCTCAGAGCCTGACCCTCCAAGTCCTGGCAGCAGTAGGAATGAATAAAGGGGTTAAGAGTGTGTGTATGGAAGCACAGAGCTCTCACTAGCTACGTGACCTTGGGCAAGTCACTTAACCTCTCTGGTCTCAATTTTCTCACCAAAAAAATGAGGATAATACTACTACCTACCCGACATCCTTGTGAGGAGTTCATTTACGGGGCCTGGGTAACCAGTCTCAGGCCCCAGTCAGGCTGTGCTCCTGTCTGCTCTCACTGTAACTGAATTCCAGGCAGGATAACACAGTGGGGAAAGCATGGGACTTGGAGGCTGGCAGACCTGGGTTCAAATCCCAGCGTCCCATTGACTCCTGGTATGATCTTAAAGTAGAAGCTGTACTTCCCAGTGTCCTCCATGCAGGAGGGTCATATTGATAGAAACTTACTCAGTGGTGCTAACATGGGGGTGGGAATGCCTGCCCTAAAAACAGTGTAGTAGCAGCTGCAGGAGGAGGAGGCAGGCTCCTGGCATCTGATCCCCCAGATTAGCTGCCGCATTCTGGGGCCGACAGGGGAACTGGTCTGGCTTGGAAAGAAGAGCTAAGGACCAGCCAGGAATTCAGGTCCCCAGGAGGTGCCATAAATAGCCAGAGCTGTCCAGGGCCTCCAGAGATGGGGGGAGGAGGGGAGCTGGAAAGGAGCAGTGGAAAAAGGAAACTGTCAGTCATCAGTCCAGGGGAAGGTCTAGGAAGCTCGCTCAAGTATCAAAGGAAAAACTGTGTATGGGTGTGGCGGAAGCGAGGGGTCACCTCTTCAGAGAGGACGAGCCCGGGACCACCTCTGCGCCTCTCAACGTCACTGGGTCAGAACATTTGCGTCACACTGTTCGCCTCCGCCCTGTGATGCTTGGGAACCAACCTTCTCCTCCTTTCCCTCCCTTTGAGCGTCCTGGAAAAGGAAGGTGCGAACACAGAGGCCCAGAGGTGCTAAGTGATTTGGCCAAAACTGCACAGTGAATCAAAGGCTGAGATGGGGATTAAACATGGATTTTCCCCTCCCAATCGAGGGTTACACATGACGGCCAAAATATCAGAACCTGTGCTCAGGGAAGAAGTCAGGGGGACGGGAACCGAAAGGACTCTTCCTCCCTTGCCCGAGCTCATCACTGTAGCTGTTGATAATGGTGTGGAGATCTACTCGTCAGAGCTAGCTGGGTGCAGCCCTGGAAATAGGACCTGAGCTCAGAAGACTGGACTTGCCTTGTGTAATCTTGCACAAATCCCTTCACCTTTCTGAGCCGCAGGTCCCTAACTCCCAAAACAAGGCCCATAATTCACGCCCCGTGTGAGAAGGGTGAGAGGACTAAGTGAGATCATGCACCATGGGCTGCCTGATGGTGCCCAAAGGTTCCAGAGACTGGGAGCACCTGGTGAGCCGCACCTTCCTCGTCTCTGTGTTCCTGGTGTTTACCGCAGTGCCTGGCAAATAGGAGCCCTCAATAAATGTGGATCGATGGAAGAATGAGTCAATCTTTGCATTTCAGTGCTGTGTGTTTGTGTGATGATAATAATAATAATGTGTGCTTGCTATTTATCAGCTAGTGCTTCCTTTCCTTGTGGACACAGGCACTGCTGTCACCATCTTGTGCTTTTACCCCTGGAAAATGCCAGAAAAAGATAATCTCTGGATAAGAATGCCTTTAGTAATAAACCTAATGGGTAGGGTGACCATATAGGTTTTTGTCTATATGGGGCCAATTTGGGAGCGAAAGGGGCACTGGTGGGAATTATACCTGGACAACAGGTATAAACCATGACTATCCCAGGCAAACAAAACTACCTGGGCACCTTTGGGCACCATGCTGCTCAGCACTCTCAGGAGAAGAGCACCCCAAATCCTCTGAACCATCCTGACTCCTATTCTCCAGTCAGATCGTGGACAGGGTCCCCCACCTTCTTATCTCCACCAGCCAAACCTATTGGGAGCTGTGTTCAGCCCAGGTCCTCACCCTTCCATTGCCCTGAGAGTGTTCTAGAATGTTTGTACTGTTCCAGATGTGAAAACCTGTGGCACCAGCTAAGGACCTGTGGTGAGCGCTGCAAAGACATCCATCCATCTCCCGACACTGTGCCAGCTCAGGGATTTCTGGAGGGGCCCCATCTCTCATTAGTTTCCATGGGCTTGTGACTGGTCCCTCTGCTTCTGCTCTTTCCCACTTTTGGTCTATTCTCAGCCAAGCAGCCTGAGCGATTCTGTGAAAACATAAGTCAGATTACGTGTCTCATCTGTTCAAAGACAGCAGCTCCCCATCTCACTCAGAGAAGAACAGCCCATAAGGCCCCAGCCTATTTAGCCCTTAATTATCTCTCTGGCCTCATCTCCTAGGACTCTCCAAACCACAGGTGTTCTGGCTTGTGCCCACCTGAGGGCCCTTGGACCTGCTCTTCCCCTCCTTGAAACACTTGCCCCTTAGATATCCATATTATTATTTCCCTCACCTCCTTCAGATCTTTTCCCAATTCTCTCCTTTTCAAAGTCCTTCCCTGGCATCCTATGAGCATGTAACACCCTCCCTTGCCACTCTGTCCCCCTTCCCTACTTTCTTCCTTAGCATTTAGCTCGCCAAATAGATCCTATGTATTAGTTATCATGTTTATTGTCCAACCCCCTCAATCTCTGTGAGAGCTTAGTTTTCATTTGTTTTGTTCTTTACTATATCCCTGGTATCTGAAACAGCACCTGGCACATCGTACATGCTCAATAAATATTTGTTAAGTGAATAAAGAACTGACTGAGAGGAAACATAGCATTGTGGTTAACGTTTGGCCTCTGGAGTAAAAATCCTGGGTTTTAATAAAATACATAGAAGAAGACATAGGTACTACATTTATAGACCTTGGTCTCGGGGAGCGTTTATAAATTTGACCCCAAAGGCAAGGGAAGTAATAGCAAAAACAAATGAATGGAACTATATCAAACTAAAAACCTTCTGCAAAGCAAAAGATACCATCAACAAACAAAAAGGCATCCAACTGAATGGAAAAAGATATTTGCAAACAATACTTCTGCTAAGGGGCTAATATCCAAATTATACAAAGAATTCATACAACTCAATAACAACAAAAACCCCAACCAATTCAAGTAAAAATAGGCAGAGAACGTGATTAGGCACTTTTCCTTAGAATACATACAATGGGCAACAGACATATGAAAAATACTCAGCTCCACTGGCTATAAGGGAAATGCAAATCAAAACCACAATGAAATACCACCTTACACCTTTCAGAATGGCTATTATCAATAAGACAAGAAACAAGAAGTGTTGGAGAAAATGTGGAGAAAAGGGAACCCACATACACTGCTGGTGGGAATGTAAATTGATACAGCTACTATTGAAAATAGTATGGAGCTTCCTCAAAAAATTAAGAGTAGAGCTATCATATCACTAGCAATGCCTCTTCTGAGTACCTACCAGAAAAATTTGAAAACATCTATAATAATCAAATCGACTGAATGGCTGAACAGCGGAACGACCATCTGGACGACCTTCTGGACGAAGCCAGGGCTGCAAGGGCCTACTCTTGCATGAATTTCATGCATCAGGCCTCTAGTTTATTCATAAAGATATATGTACCCCTATGTTCATTACATCATTATTGTCAGGGGATAAGATATGGGAACAACCTAAATGTCCTCCAGTGGGTGACTGGATGAAGAGGATGTGGTACATACATACAATGGAATAGTACTCAGCCATAAGAAAAGATGAAATACCGACAATTGCAATAATATGGATGGATCTTGAGAGTATCGTGCTAAGTGAAATAAGTCAGATGGAAAAGGACACGAACCATATGATTTCACTCATGTGGAATATAAAACAAAGCAACAAAAGAAAAAAAACAAACAAGCATAAAAAAAAAAAACAAGAACAGAAAAACCTTATAGACACAGACAACAGTATGGTGTTTACCAGAGGGGTTGTATATGAATACATACGTCAGCCAGCGGGGGAGGGGAGAGAGAGTAGGTGAAGCCATCCCCACCTGCCAGCTTCCTGTCTTTGCCTACTGATAAATAGGGGATACTCATGGCCAGATTTTCCATTCCTCCCCATCCTGGCGCCCTCTGTCACTCAATTAAAAAAAGATAGGAGAAGGCCTGGGGGAGGGGCAGACAGCCTCTGCCTATAAAGCCTGTCGCGGTAGCAGGCTGAGCACACTCAGCCGGCCTCCCCAGTCCTCTGCCTGTCATCCCCAGCAGATTTAGCTGCTGACAGGTGCTTGGGACTTTGCTGCCAGGCCCTGGCCCAGACCACCTCCTCTCCTCTCCTCTCAGTGTCTCCCCAGCCACAGCCTCGCCATGGCCCAGAAAGAAGAGGCTGCTGCCACCGCCACCGCCGCCGAGGCGTCTGCGCCTGCCTCCCAGAATGGCGAGGATCTGGAGAACCTGGACGACCCCGAGAAGCTGAAGGAGCTGATCCAGCTGCCCCCCTTTGAGATCGTCACGGGGTGAGAGCTGGTGTGGCCTGGGTCCTCCTCCCTAGAGGAGCAGGGGCTGGGGACAGGCCGGGGGATTTAGGACAGTAATAGCAGGAGTCAGGGTCAAACTGTGAGCGTGCGCAGGTGTGCAAGGTTCGGGCTGCTGGAGACACAGCAGCAATCTCGCTTGGCTTCTTGGGGTGACACGCTGGACCCGCTAGTCAGGAGAGGTAGGAGGAGTTCCTTGGAGGCAGTGCAACCACCGCTGAGGCCTCCTGGTCTTGGGACATCACCTGCCTCTCTGTTCAGTCCCAGGGAACCTGGTAAGGACATTGGCACATTTAAATGTAGTCCCAGTCATAGGGCCTCCTCCCTCCCTTCTCTCTGTTTCCGAGTGGGCCTCTCTTCTATCTGCATGTCTCCCTCTTTGGTTCTCAACCTTCCTAATGCAGTTCTGAATTAATACAGTTCCTCATGTTGTGGTGACCCCCAATTTCATTGTTACAAATTGAACATAATTAAAGCATAGTGATTAATCACAAAACAATTGTGTAATTATAAATGTGTTTTCCGATGGTCTTAGGCGACCCCTGTGAAAGGGTCGTTCGACCCCCAAAGGGGTCGCGACCCACAGGTTGAGAACCACTGCTTTAGAGCCTCCTTCAGGAGAAGATCCTGAAATAGGATCATCCTTCCCCAGGCATGAGTGAGAAGCAGTTTTGTCCTTGTTCAGTCTTTTCTGAGTTTCCCCAGGGGCTGTCCACCTCCACCCGCAAGGAAACAGGTCACAGTACAGATAACAGAGGCTAGGCCAGGAGCTTCTGGACAGAAGAGGGATCCCACCCCTGTAGCCACAGCCCAGCCCGGAGGAACCAGGACCCAGAGCAAAGGGTGAGGAGGCCCCATGCAGGGGCTGCTTACAGGGTCCTTCTGTCTTATCCACGTCGTGCGTCTCTAGGAATAGCACCAAGTGGTCTTCCTCCTCTTCCCTCTGTGTCCCTTTAAGAGAAGACCCTGCTAAGTTTCTAAGCAAAGAATAAGAGGGGGATACATGGGGCCACGTTTCCTCCTGAGCCAAGGTTCCCCCCCTGGGGTCCAGTAAGGCGTACAGGCAGAGGAGTCACACTAAGGGGCGTGGTGCCTTCAAGGAGCAGAAGGATCCCTGGGTGGCAATGTGACCTGTCACTTTAAGCTTGGCAAGTCGCTTTCCAGTTCCGCCTCCTTTTTTTTTATGCAAGTTACGCTAGCTGATTTCCAAGTTCCCTTCCAGCTCAGGAATTTTCCAATTTCTAAGCGAACCCGAGGGAAAGGTATCCTAATTCCAGAGGCAAGAATTCATTGTAGAGTGTTTTCCCATGCTCAACCAAAGCCACCCTCAACTTAGGATTAAAAAAGCAATGGGCACAGATAAATATAGATATAGGAGCCACTGAGAGCCACAGGCCAGCAGAGTCCTCGGTTCCAGGAGCTCGCTGTGGAAGGAGACCCTTTTTCTGTCCCCTAAGCACGCTGGTGCACACTGTACTGGCCACACAGATGAGCACACACACACCCACTCAATGCAGGCTGTGATCTCCCTACACAGGGACAGGGTAGGCTCTGAACAGAATCAGACTGTGTTTGTTGAGTTAAATAGGCTTTGGAGTCCCAGGGTGGCGGGTCCTAAAGGGTTAAGTCCTCTCATGTAACTTACATCTGTCCAGGTCTTTATAAGCATGGCAAACGTTCACATGCATGAACTCATTCAACCCATTCAGCACAGTGCTAGGAGAGGGAGCTATAGCATTGCCACTCTCAGATGGGGAAACTGAGCAAGGGAGATTGAGTGACTGGTCCAGGACCTCAGAACCAGTAAGTGGCAGGTCGTCTGACTCCAGCCAAGTGACCTTTCCACTGTTCTCTTACTCATTCTGGTTCCCAGGTTTACCAAGCAGAGCTCCACCTGTCTCCATCTGCAGGGCAGCGTAGTTCAGAGGCTTTCCCTAACCCGTGGCTCAGAAAAAGGGTCACAGGTCGGGCAGCTTTCTGGGCAGCTCAGGGGGGAGGTGGAGCCCTGAGTGTTTCCTGGCCACAAGTGACAGCTGTGGAGAGCTGTCTCCTGGGCCACAGGGGTAAACAGGCAGCTTAAAATAGCCCAGAGGTGCAGCTATCTCTATGCAGGGACAGGATGAGGGAGTGACTTTCCTCTCCTTCCTTCTCCAGATGCCCTAGAGTCAAAGGGGTCCCAAGCAGGTCCTCTTCTAGCCTGTCCCACAGGGGTGAGTCTGTCCATACTACTCCTTAGAAGTGTCACAAACTAGCAGAGAGCAGGTGGCTTTTTAGCAAAGAGTCTGAGGTGAGAAAGGAGTACTGGGTAGGAATAGAGAGAGATACCCTGCTTGTCATGATTCTGGTTTGAAGAGGGCACTCAGGATAGAAGCAGACCTAAGACCATCTACACTAATAAAAGAGAAACATGGTAATTGGCGTACGACCGCTACCCTTCCCATTGGCTAATCAGCGAGATATGCAAATTAACTGACAGCCAAGATGGCGGCCGGCAGCCAGGCAGCTTAAACTGAACATGAGGCTTGCTTGCTTCAGTGACAGAGGACTCCAACGTTCCCAGCCTGCCGCTGCAGAACTCTGAGCGGGCAGTTTGAACATTGTAACATATAGAAGCTAAAAAAAACTCCTGAAACCTGCTTTCAGCTAGCTGGGATCTCAGAGCTGGAGTTGATACAGAGTTTCGATTATAGAACCGAAACAAACAAGATACCTGCTTTAAGGAGCGGAGGCCTAAGAGCTGGAGCCTCAGAGCTAAAGCTGGCCCAGAATAAAAAAAGAAAAAGAAAAAAAGGAGCGGTTGGGAGCTTCAGTCACCCCCAGCCTGAAAACAGCCCTCAGCCCCTCACCCAGACTGGCCAGGCACCCCAGTG